AGCGGTTGCGTCACGTCGGCTCAGCAGAGGAGCAAAAACACCAAGAGTACAAACTATATTGGATATTAGAACAGAAGGCGCGTGCCGACAAGTTTTTGTCGGCAACCAGGGATCCCTTGGACATCGCTTATTTAATTTACCAAATTCCGCGCGAATGACATTAAAACGGCTTTTATTTCAAGATTAAAACTGCCCATTAAAATAAACGAGCAAGCGGGAAAAGCTTAAGGTGAAGTATTAGCAAACCTGCATCAAGATAGCGCATCCAGCAACAGCTGTTAGTGTTTTTATGTTTACTGATTGATTAAATGAAGACATTGAAACTATACAGTGGTCTGGAAAACCCAACTACTATTTTAACTACTAAATTGTAGTTACATTCGTTACCCCAACTAATATAATACAATTTCTACATTCCGCACCTAATCAAAAAGTAATTAACTTACAAGGACCACCAGTTGTCACTTCAAAGCAGTCTATCATCAAGTCCGTACTCTAGTTATAATTAAACATTTTATCAGTAATGTTAATGATCCTATTAGCTTTGAAGTAAAGAAAATTAATCCAACGAATCAATTTGTTGGTAATGATACTGGCATCAAATGTGTGGCTACAGTGGCTACTGGCTAGCTATACGAAGTATATATTGTACATAGAATCATTAGTGGCAGTCGGTCGTTTGTTAGAGCCATTCGCGGCCCGGAGACGGGTTTTTGTCTCAACGCCAAATTGCATCCGCACAATACGTTGTCAGTAAATTGATTTCGAATTAATTGCGGTAACATAAAGACATGGTGTGACTTGTATAACAGCGATAAGTTAGGATCTTATTAATGATCATACATTTACATTTCTATAGATAAAACATCTGTATAAATCAAAAAGAGTTAACAAAAGGCATTAAATTCTAATTCAGTCTTAAAGATTATAATGAAATTTTAACACCTTTAAATACATCCTCTGAATAGAAGAGAGCTAAAATTCAGTTTTGATTTGTGTCTAGAGAAGCAAGGCTATAAAACATACTTTAATAATTTTAACTACTTGAAATAACAGTGCAATAATATTAACCACTAAAATGAATTATTACCTCTAATACTCACACACCTACAGCCAGAAAAGGTAATACGGGAAGCATAATAATTGCATTTAAAGGAGAAATGGTTTTTAGTGATAAAACGGGTCTAGATAATGTGAAAGCACAAGAAAGATATAACACTAGAAGTGGATGGTAAGTAAGATAATAATCAGCGTTAACTAGTTGAGTGAAGCTGGAGATACGAGTAACATTATCCATAATCAATATATGTACATTCGTAATATAAAGAGATAAGCAAGCACTTCCATTGTATGCAATTAACTAACGGATATGGAAGAAGTCTGAATCGCATTGTCTTCGTCGATACATCGATATTATTATGATTTAATGATTTTCCGATTGCTATAATCATCGGGGTTCTGAGAGCTTTTTGACTTCAATGAGCTATTTCATAGTCATTGTGTTCAATAAAAAACCTATGGAGAACTTTTGTTCTTGTAGCCTGTTAGATAATTTCTGACAAATTGATTAGGTTTTAAAGAAACCTCAATAATTGAGCATTCAATAGAAATCTAATAAATTACTTTTATTTACAACATTTACTAACTGATGATGAGAGGATTAGAATTAATTATCCGAAATATCAAGTAAAATTAATCAGAAATTGTACAATTTTTCTGTGAGTGAGAGGATTTCACCACTTCAGAAACCGGTTTCATTGCACCTAACATAAAGTATACATTGCCGGCAAAACCCTTAGATAAAACAGAGTGTAGAATTATGCCATCTACCATACGAGTACGCTACCTTCACTAGTCATCAAATCATTATGTAGGGAATAATGAAAACAGAAGAACAAAATACATTCAAACAATAATACCCCAAACTGAGTGTACATTTTCCTGCAGTAGATAGCTCGAGCCAAAATCCCCACTAATCGAGCATGGCTCATTAGCGGAAGACGCTCATTTCGACACGGATACACTTATGAAGTGTGTTTTTAATGTTTTCCCAGCTTGGGAACACTTTAATTATTCCGCTGGTACATTTTCAGCAATTTTCTGTAAGGTATCTGATAATTTTGACGAAAATATGAAAGGTAAATTAGATGGCCTTTTATTAATGTATAGGGAAATTACCGGTCCAGAAAACAGTCAATTTTTTTATAATAAATGCAATAACGTATAAGTTTGAATAGGTTAAATGAATTTTAGATGATAGAAACTAAAAAAGAGTTTCTTTTTCCGACGGTGTATTTTTTTTAATTTCTTGTATGATATGTTTAAAATATACATCTCAACGCAACTGCATCGGTTAAATAAGTAATTTTACATTTGTGGCATAGTCGCAAAACGAGTCTATTTATTCGTAGACTTTATTACTCAATTAACTATTAATATCCCCGTTTTATTTTCTACTACACCTTGCTATGGAGTTTAATTTACCGAAATAGTAGACTGGATATACATTTTGTGTTCATTAGTGTATTCTCAAACCCTCATTGTAAGATCTTCACGGGCAAGCTATTGTCTACGATCTAACCTTAGTCGGTCTGAAAGTCGGTCTTTGTTCATGTTTCTAGGATTTAAGTAGTTGTTTAGATCCGCCATCAGATACGTTTACAAGTTTAGTAATGACTTTACAGATGATTATGAACTATTGAAGAATAATATAATAGTGTCCGATAGTTGGCACAATCGAGGAATTGTATAAGAAGTTAGTATCGTATTGAATCACCGTTAGAAAGCATTTTGATTATCGCTGCTTTATAGATAATACTGCGTTGCTGTTACCGCTTTTTCTGAATTGTCATATTTTTGATTGATAAAGTAAAAAATACATGTTGATAATAGTCATGTATGTTGACATGACTGCGCTGAAAATAATTACGAAAAATGGTTTCACCTTCAAATTATTTGACAAATATTAGTTGATGCTTCAAATGAAAAATTAAATACAGGTGATATAGGAGTTCTCCAAGGTAATATTTTAGTCCCTCCGCATGTTTAGGGCTTACCTAATTTACTAACTAGCAATATCTTTATACATCTTGTATTAATTTTATGTCTCTACTCTCTAATAGCGAAATCTATTGACAGATATGTTATTAAGATTGACCATAATTTGATTAATTACCTGTCGAATGAAATCCAAGTTTTTAAATGGGTTGATTAAATAAATTCAAATAAGACCAATAGGTAAATCCTTACTAATATTATAAATCGGAAAGTGAGATTTTTTTGTTTGTTTGTTTGTTCCGCTTTCACGCCATAACTACTAAACCGATTGCTTTGAAATTTTGCAGACCTAAAGTTAGAAGTCTGGATTAAATAATAGGGTACTTTTTATCCCGGAAAAATTTGATATTCTCGATTGAAAATGAAATTATTGATATAGATGGCGCTGTGCGTATTGGTACATAGGCTACTTTTTATCCTTTTGTGACGCGAGCGAAGCCGCGGGTAAAAGCTAGTACATAATAAATGCACTGTACAGTAAGCAGACCGTAATCAATCATAGCTTTGTCGATTAAATTAACATTTCCAATATTATTTTGTTCAACAGCTATTTTCATTTGAATAACCACTAAACGTGTACCTACGTGAGTTAGTTTGAACTAGTGCGATCTAGTTTTTGAAACGTATTTATATACCTACGTCAACCCGCGCGTTTTTTAATTGATTTCATCGTGGTAATATAATTAACATGCATATATAAATTAATATTTTCTAAAGCGTTTTTATCTTTAGTAAAAATCTCCCTAGTCGAGATCCGGCCATACTTAGCACATAAACTTCTGATAGAATAATTACGGATTTTTGCGAGTCACATTCTATTCCGTATAAACTTTTGAACTGCATCTTAAGCCACATTTTATACTCCTCTGTCTATTTTTCGCGAGAGAGAGAGATACAAAGAGACATACAAAGTGTGCGTACTGTCATAGATCTGTTTTGAATTAGAATTTCGTACCTACACACACACACACACACACACACACACACACACACACACACACACACACACACACACACACACAATCAGAACTTAATATTTTTTTACCATTGGACACTTTGGCACACGGCAAAATAAGACCAAAAGAAAAAAGTTCAAATTACAACATTAATTACACATCTTTGCAGAAATAATATCAATTAACAAAACAATTAGGAAGCTGTTCTGTTGTAAATTATGACTATTTTATTGCTATCCCAAAGCATATTAATTCATGCAAATACAAATGGCATGTGTAATTAATGCAAATCAAATTACAAACACAAAGAGTAATTACACAGTGTCAAAGATGAATTAACCAGTCGACAGTAATTATAAGTTTGAGCTTGAAATGTGCATGTATTCAGACTAATTTTAGAATATTTTTTAAGAGTGTTATTTTTATAAAATCAAGTAGTATTATTAGATAAGTAAAGTAGGTACTTTATAACTTATTATGGCTAAAAATTAGGTACCATATGAATAGGACCAGAACCTAGAACTAGACAGACTCAGGAGCTCCATTTTTACTGCTTTTTCGAAACACAAGTGCTGTTTAAAATTGCATTTTATCTACATTCTTACATTGTAAAATATTTTTAGAAGATATTAACACTTTCGGGTGTCTTATTATTATCCTGTAGAATAATTTTAGTGGCCTAGAAAAAATAGTGCATATAGATACAAAAAAGTATAATTTTACTAAATAGATTTCTTTTTGTTTTAGTTTACAAATATTGATCTGCACTAACTTATTTATTCGAGTAATATACTAGAAAAGTCTGGAAGCTGTGTCAAATATTATGTCATTATATGTGGATTTTCATCATTATAGTTTATGTATTTCAACACATTTTTAAGGTTTTATTTATTGATAGCAAGTAGAGAAATAACAAAGATCTGTTTATAGATGTTAACACAGGTAGTTAATTTTATTATTGTGTGGTAAATTATAATTTAAACTCACCTTACAAATAACTGTTCTTGATTGTTCACTCTCCATGATACTACTGTAGCACCTGTAACAAAATGAAATATTTGAAAGGTCTGAAAAGAGTTTGCAAAAACTCTGTGACTATTTGTAAGATATCTATGTATGTTAAAATGCATCTACAATTAAATAAACATCAAGTTTTACAGCTAAGTTTACTTTAATGACCATGATCATCCTGATTTCCTAATGTATTAGCCAAATTATTGCTAGAGTATGACTTATGATTATTTTTTGTGAGTACATCAAATACCAACCTACAATTTAAAAGCAAGTATCTACAGTTTACTTCCTACAATCCAATAGCCAAGGTCAGAACCGCCGCAGACAACTTATTCTATTCAATATGAAAAAAACTAGTTACCTATCAACTAAACACCACTAACTACAGTACGTACACCTCATACAAATTATTTTCGGTAACTACATACACTTATTAATATAATGTAATATAATTTGTGATGTATAAATTACATTATAAACATTACATTTTAAAATTACGCGCGTACAATTTCAAAAATAAATAAAGAAGTTAAGGTTAGACTGCCGCCACTTGAAATGCTCTGATAATTTGTAATATTATAGAAATTTTAAACTGACATATTATAGTTAACTTGTAAAATAATTAAAAACAATACTTACCGAAAAGATTTACGGTACAAGTTGTATTGTTGCCTCTATCGAGAACGACAACACTCGTCGCTGCCATTTTCCGTTTGACAGCGAAGCCAACTGACAAAAAGCCTCGATATTGGTATTACCACAACTATGAATATAGGACCTACATATTACTGAAATCTAAAACTACCAAAATATAAAATTAAGTAGCATAAAAATGAATTTAGTTTATATAATGCAATATCATACTTTAATGATTGTGTACAACAATAAAACAGAAAGTTTCGGCACAAAGTTGCATCGAAATCTTGTACGAACATCAAACATGCATGGTTTATTTAATTTTTTCTTATTACTGCCGGTATCCCTAACTGGTAGAAATATGTTTTCTTTACCGTGTCGAGGTGAAATAATTATATAATACTATTATAAATATTACTAAACTAATAATACTAAAATAAAATTATGAAAAATTTTATACATAGTTTACACAATGACTTTAATATTAGTATTAAAACATTTTGTTTCAGACTGACACAATATGTTCAATAATTTCCGAACGTAACAAAAATAAACCAATCAGAATCAGCCAACGCTGTGCCGGCAAGTGTCATCATCGGCATCATACGTGTATTTTTCCGGTCCTTGTCCTTTCTGGCTCTGCATAGTTTTCTCAGCTTCACTTGGACGGCGAAGAATCGCGCACGGTTTTATAGAAGTGCCGATAAAAATTTAAAAATGTTGGGGTCACTAAAAATTGTTTTATTATTAGGTGTAATTTATTTATGTAGAGCTGCCGAAGAAGATGTATTGGATCTTACAGATTCCGACTTTTCGTCGGTGTTGAGCCAACATGATACTGCTCTTGTCATGTTTTACGCACCATGGTAAGTAATTAATGATTTATCGTAACTGTAAACTTATGAATGGCGTTTAATGAGCTGGTTGTTTGATTTACGTGTGTAATTGTGGGTTAGGTGCGGTCATTGTAAGAGATTGAAGCCGGAGTACGCGGTAGCGGCCGGCGTGCTAAAGAACGATGACCCTCCTGTCGCGCTGGCGAAGGTAGACTGTACTGAGGGTGGCAAGAGCACATGTGAGCAGTTCTCAGTGTCAGGATACCCCACACTGAAGATCTTCAGAAAGGGAGAAGTTTCCCAGGAGTACAATGGCCCCAGGGAATCAAGTAAGTTCTAGAACAATTTATTGATTTTTATTACATGAACCATATCTTTATATTAATAATACAGTGAAGGTAGTATGATAACTTATTTGTACTGTGTAGACAAATAATGAATGAATGAAAGAGAATCTTTTTAATATATCTAATAAGTATATGGTTTTCCAAACAACCAATTCTAATTTGAATCAGTTAATCCTGTTTACTTACCTCATATAATTCTTATATGATATATCATTTATCTGGGTAATGTTATATTCATATTTAAAACAAAACAAACATTATTATTCTACCAACCATGAATTTTTAGAAAGTTACATTTAGAAACTTCAATTCCATTTCTCTCTCTCTGAATGACTGAAATTCATTATATAAACATTATATTTTATTAACTGATTCCCACACACATACATTCCAAGTAAATTGTAATAGCAACACTATTCTATATTTAAATCTGAATTGCCATTCCAAAGACAATCATAAAATATATTTAAACCTATTTGCTGAACATTGGTTTTATAGCACTGATTTATCTGTCCTCTCAAAACAGGAAAGTGAAAAGCTAAATATCTAATTTTATTATATTTATTAATGTTGTTAGGGGCAGATAAAAGCAGTTGTTTCAATTTCCTGTTGTATTGGTAACATATATACAAGAAATACAACACCATATTTGGAAGGCTAAAAACTAATATGAGTTATATTGGATTCCAATAAGATTTATGTAATTTGTCAGTCAAGTAAATAAAAATGTGTTGATTTAACAACTTGAAAACTAAATTGTAAGTTATTGGATTATTATAATAAAATTTTAAAAACTTTATAGCCTCTTGTCTGTTGAAAGTCGCGGGTATAATGTGTTTTATACCGGGAGCCAGTGTTGAGTTGAGTGAAAAGTAGTGATATAATTGTTTCCACACTCATTAAAATGTTTCCAATAACATCAAAGAAACAGTACTTTAAAATAAAAATAAAAATTCTAAACCTAACCAACCTCTTTGCAACTTGCTCACAGATGGCATTGTGAAATACATGCGTGCTCAAGTTGGGCCCAGCTCTAAGGAACTAAAGACTGTTGCTGATTACGAAGCATTCCTGAAGAAGGATGAGGTGGTTGTCATCGGCTTCTTCGAGAAGGAGACTGATCTCAAGGGTGATTTCGTTAAGACTGCTGACAAGATGCGTGAAGAGGTCACCTTTGCACACACTTCTGCTAAGGAGGTCTTGGAGAAGGCTGGATACAAGTAAGTTTTTATATTATAATTTTCATTTTTAATCCATTTCTCCAAGCGGTCACTGGTGGTGACCGTTTGGGGATTCTCTGGGATCTCTCCACTAACTACATTATAGAGCTTATTCCCATGTTTAGAGACTACTTTTATGTGAACAAATTTAGGGTATGATATTTCAACAAGTACTTACAAGGTTTTAATCCTAACATCAATGAAAAATTCTATCAAAGGGATTTGATAATAAAATATGAAGCAAACTAGAGAGACCTTCAAATCCAGTTGTCCAATTTACCTTTTTAATGAAATGTAAAAATAAATTATTTGCTATATTTTAAAGTTTAAAATATAAGTTAGTTACCTACCATTCCATGATCAGTACTAATTTTAATTGCATTTTTATCTATGGTATTTATTATTTATGGTCTACCCTGCTATTTATGCTATCTGGTCATCAATAACTGGCATGAAATAAAGCCACAACTAGTAATTATCTTTAAATTCCGTGACAAAGTATTTTTTCATACATTTAATATTGAAGTAAAGTTGTAAAGGTAAGACTAAGTTTACACTAAGTATAAAAATAGAATACAACAGTTTATTTAAAAAAAAAAACCTAAAAAATGTAAATTAGTGTTGTAATACAACTTTGGTAAGTTTTTTTTTTCATAAATTTTTACTATAAGTGTAGAAATCGGAAAGTAAGGTAATTACTTTATTGAAATGTACACAACGTGTACCTTATTACTAAGCACACCATTTAAACAGCTGTTTAAGTAACCCTCGTTATTGAATTCTAACTTATATTGTTCTTATATGTACACAAATGTTTTTAACAAGTAACTATTTAACCTTATAACATTTTAACATAACCAGCATAACAATTTAACCTTTTTTCTGACATAGAACTTATTTGACATTCATATTGATAACAGACTCACTGATACAACCATTTTATCACTTCATTTATTTGTCTGTACAAATTTTTTTTATTAAAATCCCCCTTATGTATAATTCTATGGATCCATGACCAATAAACTGACTGAAGTGGTCCCACCCGGATATATTCGGTTTTATTTTAAATTACTAGTTATAGTAGTCATTCATAAGTCATGGTATACTGGAGCACAGATTTACTCGAAACACGACGTGTTTTTTAGTGTCGTATATACGCGCAGACAAGAATCTGAAAAGATTTGGTGTATAGCAATAGGTTCACTCTTTGATGTTGAAAAATCCCAATGTATAAAAGTCAAAAAAAGTGTGGGAGAGCCATACTTCGGCACGAATGGGCCGGCTCGACCAGATTGATACCACGGCCTCACAGAAAACCGACGTGAAGCAACGCTTGCGTTGTGTTTCGTCGTGTGAGTGAGATTACCGGAGGCGCAATTACCCTCCGCTTCCCCAATCTCCCCAATTCCTGAATCCCCAACGATCCTCAAACTCCTAATCTCCAAAAGGCCGGTAAAGTACTTGTAACGCTTCTAGTGTTCCAGATGTCCATGGGCGACGCCGATTGCATACCATCAGGTGATCCGTCTACTTGTATACCGGCTTATGCCATAAAAAGTCAAATAATTTATTTCAATCCTTCATTAAGCACTTTTGAAACGTTAAAAATTGAATGGTCCGTCCATCTGTCAGTGAAGCTAGGTCCTTGTTCCAAAGTATCGTTTCGAATGGAAAAGAACGAGCAAGAAACTCAATCCTTACTCGTTATATTTAGAAACAATATCAATGTCTTTACATTTTAAACAAATCAAGAATAGTGCGTATAACACAGGAAACATAACTTTAATTTGATTTAATAGCTAGCAGTCGGAAAATAAATTGATAATGTTATGACAAGGGTCCCCCTATCAAAATGTCGGACAATGTACCAAAAAGATTCACGTATGATAAATCTAATCTGACACGATTTATAGGGCGCTTTATTGTCTGTGGGCCTAATAATACAGATAATAATTTTATTCAATATCTTTTTATTAGTTAGTGCTAGGTAGGTGTAGTTGATTTGTAAAGTCCGTTTATCAGAAGCGCAAGAGACAAATCTACAATATTAATTTATTCACAAGATACGATTTGTAATTTCCAACCAATGTGAAAATCAAGATACGGAAAATTAAACCTTATATTGTATTAAACTTATTACAAAATCGGAAATAAAACATCCTTTAGAAAATTAATGTCTGTATACTATGTAATATATGTATGTATGTAGTAATTAATAAGTATAAAACTGCAACAAATTGCATCACAACAGTGAAACTGAACTAAATTATCCTCGTCCGTGACTCCACGTCATGTATTGATACAATCGTGATCATAGTACAGACACTAGCCCATCAAGCTACTATATTTTGTCCCTTTAGTTTAATAGATAGTGAACTTTATCGTGTCGTGGTATAGTCGAAAATCTATTGGAGAAAGATAGTTTTGGGGGAGATTGGTGTGTTCCCCTATTAAACAAGTTTGCCGCTAATAAATGCCTAATTAAACTGTGTGTTGAAGTTAAAAATTAATATTAAGCACAAAGACAGTTTTCAAGATACAACCGCAAATAAAATCGCGTGTTTGTGTTTACTTGTTTGTAGGTAAACGTCGACCCATCACATCCTTACTAATGTTATAAATTGGAAAGTGAGTTTGTTTGTTCCGCTTTCACGCCGTAACTACTAAACCGATTGCATTGAATTTTTGCAAACATAAAGTTAGAAGTCTGGATTAAATAATACTTTTTATCCCGGAAAAATTGATATTCCCGAGGGAAAACAAAAGTATTGGTATATATGGCGCTGTGTGCATTGGTATATGTCAGATAGGCTAGTACTTTTTATCCTTTTGTGACGCGAGCAAAGCCGCGGGTAAAAGCTAGTATAAAATAATGTAGATTGTGGACTGTGTAGGAACAGTAACGTATCGTAAAATATATAAAAACCACGTGTACTGTATCGAGTGGCGTTTAAAAGACAGGTTTACACGCACGGTGTAATTTACATTAATATAATGTATTCTGTCGCGTTGAATATGTCGTTCGTCAACAATTTTGTTCAGTTTATAGCACGAATATGCTTTACAATAATTCGAATTATTTGTGTATCTAGTTTATTTTTTGTTATATAATTGGTTGGTTAATTGTTGTTCTGTCGTTACTTATAAATTAGTAAATTAAAATAGTTGACTTTCAATCTATTTCAATTCAATGTGAATACTTCAGATTCATAAGTTAACGTTTTGTATCACTTAAGTGACAAAATGTCTAAACATCTTCAGATAAATCCTAATTTTCCTGGATCGTATAAGAAAATCTCGTAAATTGTACTACAAAACTAACAGTCTTTGTAAGTAGCTCGCACTATCATGTTCATATTGAACCCATTTTCAGTAGTCATAAGTTAACTGCAAACGCACAGTTGTGCCCTACTTCAGTTCAATCAGTTTATCTTACTTTCAAATTACTGTGACGGGCTCTTAAACGATTTTCTACGTTTCATATTTGTTTCGGAAAGTAATAAGCATTCAGATGAGGTTTCTCAGTCTCAGACATACAATATGATCTACATCAATGTTTTCTGCTTCCATCTGTTAAGTAATCTGAATATTTTTTTTTATTTTGTAATCTGAAATCTAGAACCGAAAACATTCCGAGAGGCGGAAATCTAGCCACTGCATAACGTATGATCGGAAATATTTATTTACGCTTCTAATAAAAGTAAAAAGTTAATTCAATATTTTTGTAGGAGCATATCTAAATGCATTTAAATAGACAGATCATAAAATCAATTACGTTGAGGAAAGCCAAGACTCTTCGAAGGAGGTTCTACCTCTAATATGACCTTTCTGAACATTGTTTATGGTTTGTGCAGTAGCTGCTTACTACCTACAGGCGTACAGGTGTCAAATACCCTTGTTTCTTATACCTAAAGTCAGTTAGTAACTGTTCCGAGCTCCGTAATCAACTGTAAAAACAATGCGACCATTACATTAGGAATTTACGTTTCATTTATGTATCTTTTTAATGTACAGACGATAAATAAATGGTTATTGTGACGATAATGATGGAATATAGCTGCAAGTAGAAATAACTTAAATTAAATCGTACCTATCAATAATGGTTACAAAATCAATGTTATTATGACCAGTTCCAATGATAAAGTATCTCCCATTCCAAACTCTGGTATGGAATATGATAATGGTCTGCCACTAGAAACAATAGGATAACGTAAAATCATTAGACTTTGACAATCTACAGACATTATTTAGCACTTTATTACTAAACACGATATTTCTATTTGCAATTCTCTTCACTTCATAGCATGCAAAATTTGACTAATTATCACGAACATAATAGGAGCATTCGCATTTCAAACATTAAGTACACGTTGCCCAACTTTCTATATATTAAAAAAACCTATGGAACGTTATATTGTACCTACTTACTCGTACTTACCTTATTATTGGCCTATATTTCATTAGTTCACGTAGAAATAGGGCTATAAAATGGTCGTAAGTCCATAATATCCATATTCGATTGGCCCTTTTACACGCAAGAACTTACTCAACGATGAAAATATCCCAATGTAGACCCAGAACTTTAATACTTCAACCTACTTTACCAGTAAACCTGTCATCAGTACAGGTAACTTGTGTATGTAACATTAACATGTTTGTATTGTATTGTCAACAGGAACGACGTTGTATTGTTCCGTCCCAAACGCCTGCAGAACAAGTTTGAAGACTCGTCTGTCGTGTACAAGGGAGAGCCTGAGACCTACTCGCTCAAGGCTTTCATCAAGGAGAACTTGTGAGTTTATTTTATATGATATTGTCATATTAAGTTACTCCAGGCTATGTTACTACATAAATCTCGCTATAGAGCTGGAGATTTGGGTACATTGGTTCATAGAATATAGGAAGAATTAGTTTCTTTGTGTCAATGTTGATTTTTAGTCGTCAAATAATCAGCGACACTTGTGTCATATTTATACAGCTGAAGGTTTTTGACAAATAACAAAATGCCTTAATTTATTTATAGGTAGCTAATAATGTCTTAAAATTCGGCTGCCTGAAAGAAGACTACTTTGATCAATTCTGATAATTTTTTATCGCCTATCTATCAGGTGAATCCTAAATTAAAATAAGCCCAGTCGACCTAGATTTCTAATAAGGATATAGCCACAATATAATAAGGAATTCAAATTGCGCTCCACACGCTAATGATGCGTAAAGTTCTATTAGCTGTCAAAAGCAAATTTATGCCACATTAGACTTACCACACAAAACATTTCCCTATAAATTAAAGTTAATCTAATTTTCTGACAAGTATGTGATATTCACAGCCACGGACTGGTCGGCATCCGCCAAAAGGACAACATCCGTGACTTCACTGACCCCCTGGTGGTCGCCTACTACGATGTGGACTACGTCAAGAACCCCAAGGGCACCAACTACTGGAGGAACCGTGTGCTCAAGGTATGTTGTTCTAGAATATTATATATACAAAATAGTAGGTAATATTACTGTACTGTTACTGTATTTGTATATTATGTATTACTCTAAGAAATGATAAAATATTAGGACAGACACGATTTCTCCACACATGAAACTATTCTGCTATTATGATATTTCGTGCTATTACTGAAATAGTATACAATTAAGCTCTATATATATTAACTTCTAATCTAAATCAGTTTCAAATTGCCTAAGTTATAAGTCTAAAACAATAAAATACACGATACATGGATGTTTATTACAATGACATCATTCTTTGACAATACAATGATAAATCACTGATGTTAAACATACAAATAATAAATACCATAAACTTAAGAAAATATTACAGAGAAAAACTACAGTAAATTTTATTGCAATAATTTATTCACATGGTAAAGTTTTCTTTGACGAACTAATTATGAATGAGTGTAATCCATTGTGTAACATTTATCTTAATTAGAAATTTTATGGTTCATTCTCCATGGTTGCCTTACTATACTTACACCAAAGAGGTATAATACTAATGTCGAGCATAAAAACTTATATTCCAAACAATTTGATATTCTTACCTCGTACAATAAAGGTTCGTTATGTATCTTGTAAAATATAAACATCATTTTGTGTCATGAAAAATCGATTCACAAACCATGCATAGCTAAACTATGATCACAAATGCAACTTGCTTTTGATAATGAAGAAGAAAAATCTCAAAATTTCATCTAAAGTGTTTTTATTCTAAATTTTTTTTTTAATATAGTGACTTAATATCCCTATTTACTTCTACCCAGGTTGCCAAGGAGCAGTCAGAGGTTACATTCGCAGTGAGCGACAAGGACGACTTCACCCACGAACTGAATGAGTACGGCATTGACTACGCCAAGGGTGACAAGCCAGTCGTCGCCGGCCGTGACGCTGATGGCAACAAGTTCGTCATGTCCACCGAGTTCAGGTAACACTCTATTAAGTACTTACTATCTCTATAAAGAACATTTTCTAGAATGTTCTTGCACTATTTCTGATCAATGGAAAACGAAAGATAATTTGATGATTGGAGGCTTTAGATAAGATACAGATCTGAGCGGTCTTTTAGATTCTAAAACTAAGTTGACAAAACACTGGTTACTAGTATTACCTACGTTTTGAAACAAATTTTAATCGTAAATGATTTTAAAATATGATGGCAGGTACAGTTCTATGTAACCGCGCGGTAGAGCTAGTTCAAAATACAATACACTTGCGATAACGCGATATGGAAAAATCAATAATACCAACTAATATACACATACTTAGTATGAAGAAAATATGAAAAGTAGTCGTGTAAACATAGTCCACGAAGTTAGCATTGTTTACTTGTTTCAGTGCATATACAAATTTATTAATTCTACTACTAATGATATCGACGTGCGCCTTCCAATTAATCACAACGTCAGTTATTACTCCCAAACACTTTGCTTGTGTCTCCTTTTTGATGTTGATTTTAATAATTTTGACGCTGTTTTTTGATTCAAATTTTGATTAAATTGAATGTTGATCGATATGTCTATGTTTATTTTGAAATTAATGTGCTTTAGTTTCTATAATGTTGGGAATTACATAGTGTGCGCCTAGGATGCTTCCTTGTGGCATTCCTTGCTCATTTAGTAGTTTTTAATCATGAAATCTTTTTGTACTAGTACATTGCTAAAAATGAATTAGTCATTGTTCAATTCTGAATCATTAGCTTCTGTTGTTAATCACCAGAATGACTTACTTTCCAGTGTAACAGTAAGGGCTATTTAATTTTCTTTATTTAAGTATTTAAGGACACTGTAAAAGGTTTACTTTTTATTAGGATAAACTGACAAAAATACGGGTGTGACATGAACACTAAATTAAGATACAAAAAGAAAATATTCGCGAAAGATGTGGGCGTAACGCTCAAGTTATTAATACGCAAGAGTTCGTACCGATCAGTTTAAAAGTTGTTTGCTAACACCTAAACAGGGATAAATTAATTAAACAAAATCTTTGGACTTTTGCCAACACTCGAGAACACGTCAAAAGTTAGAAAACTCATTCCGTAGAAAGACTTGGAATATAAAAGATATGTAATTCTTGTGTTTATGGAACTGAACTGAATATTTTTACGGTCATGTTATCGCATCGAACTGGTTCTTACGATTGTTTTACGCCCCGTTAACTTTGTTTAAAGCACAGCGAAGTAATGATAAGCAGCCGATTATTCAATGAAAAATTCGTTTAAACACTTTATTTATTGACTGTCGAAGTTATTTAGTTTGAATGTAGTTTTCTAATAATATTCTGCAATTTCAAATGTGTTGTCTGTATTGTGGACTTGTTTTATGAAATGGTTTTACGAACTCGTGAATTGATCGCTTTTATAAATTAACTGTAAATGAGGTAACAAATGCACACTTACTTTTTCTCTTTAATTAAATAATCACAAATAGAGACAAATACACGTAACAACACAAAATGAATTAGGTAATATTTTATGTTAAATTGTGTATTATTTTATTTAGCAAATAGACGCGTGTAAAGACTTAAGACCCACAAATACGTCAAAACATCGACCACCTAGAAATGTCACATCAAAAATGTTTTAGTGTATCAATGAAATTACTTAAAATGCCAATGTCAACATCGTTTTCTATTTTTTCCAGCATTGAAAACCTGTTAGCTTTCACAAAGGATCTGCTGGATGGTAAATTGGAGCCTTTCGTCAAGTCTGAGGCTGTTCCTGAAAGCAACGATGGACCAGTGAAGGTAGCTGTTGGCAAGAACTTCAAGGAGCTGGTCACCGACAGTGGACGTGATGCCCTTATCGAATTCTACGCCCCATGGTGCGGACATTGCCAGAAACTCGCTCCAGTGTGGGACGAACTTGGTGAAAAGGTAAGGTCGATATTGAAACTAGTTAAAGATTGGCTAATAGAGTACGTTAGTAATAAAGGTTTTCACACAAATAATTTGGAGAGTGATCTTATTGTTGTACCTAAATGAGCTTGATAATTGCGTATGCAATCAGCATACGCAATTACCAAGGTCATCTAAGCCAATTATTGTTTTACTTTCACTTCTAGACTGCTGAATTACAGACTGCTTATTTCAAATTCTAATAAATAATATTGTTTTGGATAACAGCTGAAGGACGAGGCTGTGGACATCGTGAAAATCGACGCGACCGCCAATGACTGGCCCAAGTCGCAGTTCGACGTATCCGGATTCCCCACCATCTACTGGAAACCTGCTGACAACTCCAAGAAACCCGTCAGATACAACGTGAGTTGAAACAATAATTTTATTTTTTTTTTTCTTTTCTAGTGATAGATAAGAATAAGAAGAATAAGAATAAGAATAATTTATTTAGCAAAACAAAGGACAAGTATACCTATAATTTAACAGAAAGCGATAATGAATACATAGAAATCACAATCACAATTGCAAGGTAGACCAAAAAATACTAGTTTATAATGTATACATACAAGTTAACATAAGCAGTGGCATTTCTGTAGTATCAATAATACACAGCAACAGCAATCCTATAATACACCTTGCAAACAAAAGTAATTTAACTCAGTAATTCACAAGACAATAAGTTTGATACCAAAAGTGTAATAAATGTCCACAGACGGTATACGTAGATTTTTTACTTTACCTCCCGTGCTAGTCAAAGACTGTGTTACGGCAAGGTAAGATTCTCGCTCGAACGATTTATTTTCAATCATGTAACGTAGAACATAAAGTACCCTTTTGCTTACAGCTTTGATTTTTCAACTACTAATAATTTTATAATAAGTAACAGCCACAAAGTATGAACAAATAGTACATGCAAAACTTTTAGACAAAAAATCTGGTGCGAAAAATTTAACTGGTGATCAGTACAAAATTAGTAACTGGCCAATATTTATGTGCAACTCATTTTTGGTATGTACCTTTGATATATGCGTAATGTATAGTTTTCCCACTCTGTAGTTATGTCCTTGTAAAGTGATGAGGAGTAAACATTTAAGTATTAACATTATTAATGTAAATGTAGATATTTTGAAGCATTTGGTACAAAATACAAAATAAAGAATAAAAAAATAAAAAATAAAAAATAAATAGATGAAATAAGAATAAACACTATATATTAAACAATAATAATGTATATACATATA